GTCATGGCAATTCTGATGACTACATAGGATAAAAATACGTGACTTTGTCAGGTTTTTTCGCAAGATATTGTACATGCTGAAGTTGAACACAGTAAATTACGAGGGTACCAGTTGATATCAAGTTCTAACATTCTATATATCAGTTTTAATAATTGTTTTATAATTGTTTTATTGCAAATTCATGCCCGAGGGCTAATTGCAGGAACAGAAGAAACAGACAATTAGTACACATAGAATTACTGATAAGTACTAAGAAACTACTAGTAAAAACTACTGGGTTTGACTTCTTTTTTGAAGACAGAGGAAGACAAAGGATCCCACTTTTTCTGTGATTTGTGGGTTTTCGTATGTTAAGAGGAGAGCAGTTTTCTTTACCTTCGCCAAGAAGGTTATGTTTTCAGTGGCGTTCGTGTATGTGTGTGTTTGTGTGTGTGTGTGTGTGTCTGTAAACACGATAACTTGAGAAGGCTTAAATGGATTGACTTCATATTTGGTAGGTGGGTAGGTCTTGATGAGACCTAGAAATGATTAGATTTTGGGCCCCCTAGCGGCTTCTAATGGTACTGCAGCTGAACTTCCGGTTTTGATATCTCATGATCTGGACGTGCTGGGGTGACGAAATTTGGATGGTAGGTAGGCCTTGTGCTCGGGAAGAAGTGACGTAGGTTTGGGCCCCATAGCAGCTTGCTCAGGAACTGCAGGGACATTTCTTTGAAAATATTCAAAACAGGATAACTCAAGAACCGGTGGACGGATCTTCATGATTTTTGGTATGTAGGTAGCTTATGTGACGCTTGATATAATTTTGTGCCAATTATGCAAATCTGGATGTAATTTGCATAATTAATGAGGAAATTCTATAAATCAGCTGCATTACATTATAGGACTATTCAATCTTGTGACATATGTAATTGAGAACGAGAGAAACACAGGCAGATATTAATTATGTAAATTAACACTTAATTTGCATGATTAATGAGAAAATGTTATAATTCCATAATGGTTACTGCCTGGAATTTCATACTTGGGGTATTTAAAAGTTAAGTGAACCTGAACATCATTAAACATAACTTATTCAAATAAGGACCTCATTTGCATAATTTATGAGGAAATGATAGAATGGCTTTCTTTGTTAAGATAATTCTGTCTTTTGATGGAGAATATGATCAACTGATATAATTCATTCAAATTAGGATGCTATTTGCATCATCAGGAGGAATCATCTTTGTCAGTCATAAAGATTAACATCATTTGGCGAAGGTATGAGATCGTGGGACTCTAGTTTTATTTGTATATGTGTGAAAGTTTGGGTAGAATTTGGAGGCTTCGTCAAAGAGTTAATTTCGTTCATTGCTATAGAGGATACAATTTGAGATAAAATGCGCTTCGTCTTCCACCGTATTCAACGTACAATGTTTGCAAATCCGTTTATACACTTGGAGCTTCTTATACCGCCCTCTCTCAATTTCGAGAGGGTATGCACTAATTCGTAATTTACTTATTATTGCAGAGCGATTGTTAAAATCAATTAAGTCCAAGTATTTTTCTATAGAATATGTTTTGATGAAAGAACAACACACCAAGTCTGTGCACTTTCTGCCAACTATCTTTTACGGAACTCTGCAAGCTGACACACACACAAGGCAGCCACACCAACCACCAACCGTGGTTCTACCTGGTGTGTCTTTTGCCACATACTCTAACAACTCTTGACTCGCGCCAACTCTAACACCATTACCGCGATATTACATCAAAGCTCGCATGGGGGAGCGCCACTCCCCTGACAGGCAGACAAACGTAACATATTGAATCAGGGTTCGCGCCGAGGCATTTCCCCGACACTGCAATCAGCAAAAGAGTAATAATCCCGGTTTG